CCCCACCCCACCCCTTTGCACTGCCTGGTCGTGGAGCTCACCTTCGGGCAAGTGTCGAGGATCTCGAACAGGACGGGCTCCCCGTCCACCAGCACCTCGTACTTGTAACGGTTCTCTGCAAGAGGCGCGTACTTTCAGGTGTGCTGCTTTATCTGTTTAACCTTTTCCAACCGAATACTAATGCTAAATCAACGTGGGGTTTTCGCTTTCACCTGCCTGATGGTCATATTCGCCGATGTACCTCTTGGTTAGGAACCTTACTGTCAGCGCTGAAACACATGAAAGGAACAGGGCATCAATGGGACGATGGCCGAATAAGTCACTATCATGACGGTACCACTTCAGGTATCCCCACAATGACGAATGTCCCTCGAATTGATTGCGGGGGCACGTTGGGCTTCAAACCGTTCTCTTTCCCGGACCCTCTACACTTTCCACTTGGGCGCTCGCTCCGGGCCGGGCAGGCCGCCGACTTCACGCGGCAGCTCGGCGGGCTGGCCTACCCAGCGTGCGGCAGGCGCTGCCAGCCCAATTGTGGGGGGCAGCTTCACAACTCGTCGAGTGACGGGGTGACGGGTTCGGGGAAAGGAAGCCAACACTCACATCAAACCTGATTCGTTCGCAAAAATGTTTTTGAGAGGTTTCGCGAAAGGCGAGACTCTTGCGTGCTCTTGCGTTGCGCGCCCCCTCGTCGTTTCTGGGTCACTTCAGCACTTGGCTGGCAGGGCCCAGGCGCTGCTAGAGTCTGCGCTTGCATTTGCTGCGCTGCGTGCCTCGCCACTCACACTCGGAACAGTTTCCCCCCTAGCGCCTATTTTCGCCCCCTAAAGCAGGGGTTTCGCGCCAGAGTGCGACCTAATTACTGAAACTCGACACAGGGGGAAAAGGGGGGGGGCATTTTATGGCGGATGTGCCGTTGGGTTGTCTGAATACATGCGCAAAGTTTTCTACCTTTCAGTGCGTTACGGACTCTGAATTGGTGTCCGTGGGGGTGAAGCACACCCCGCCCGACCGGGCGGGGCGGGAGATATGACCCTGCCCCCCGCCGCCCCCCGCCCCCGGCCGCTGGCAGTGGCCCCATTAAGAGCGCGCTCCGTCACAGCGGTGTGCAGGCGGGCTGATATATGGCTGAGGGATGGGGCGACAGCTGCTAAGTGTTTGGCGTGGCACGGCGGCGCGAGTCGGACTCACGCTTTGGCGTGCTACCCAAACACCTTCGAAGCGCCCCC